GTTGTATGCGTCTAACGTAGATATTTTAAACGTCAGCAGGGCTGCGTGTTGCAGTTGGTTAGACTCGCCTCACCGCGCCAAAGTCCCAGGTTTGAATACTGGCTAGGGTTTTTATTCAAGAAATTTGCATGTTCTCCTAAATGTGGAGTTTCTCCAGGAAATCTGGTTTCTTAAAGTCTAAAGCAATACTTGTTAGGTTATTTGAGATTCTAAACTGAGTTCAGGTGTGACTGTGATGGACCAACAACCTGCCTTATACAATGCTGCACAAAATGATGGATGCATGCATGGATGCATGGATGGATGGATAAAACTCAGTAACCAATCTGTCCTTCAGGTTTATAATGATTAAATAGCGTTCTTTTTCTTTATATTGCATCTTTTTATCCATTTACCATCTCCTTTGTCCTTTTATATCCTGTTTGTTTCATTTTATGTATTTAACCTGCTGTATTCAACTTAAAACCTTCCCTTTAAAATAAAAAAAAAGCTCAAATATAGATTTTTCTTGTCCTTGGAAGCAGCGTTTAATAAGCAGTAAAAGGTCTGTGAGCTTTGTTACACACAATCGGAGCCAGATAACCTAAAACATAATTGCAGCAGAAGCAGATAATATTCTCCTGCATATGTTTCAGCGTATGAAATTAAATCAAGTCATTCCGCCAGACTTGCTGACTTGCTTTCACACTTCGCAAGAGACGGTTTCTACCAGTCTGGCAAGTCTTCAGCTCTACCCCCCAGCCTCCCATCTGCCCACCTGATCCACAGAAACAACTCTAGCTGCTGCTTTACAGACATACATAGGAAAAAAAGAATGTCATTATTGACCTTTAAAGCACATTTATTAAACTGTAACTTTTACACAATATGTCCATTTGTATTCCAGCAGTTCTATCCATTTTGGTTCACTCTACTTCTCTTTAAACTTTAAACACCCTCTGTGTGTATTTTAATAACTAAGTCTACTGAAGTAGTAAAGCACCCGGATGACTTATAGTTTTGTTTAATTCAAAAATGCCAAACTCACACAGCACGGTTTACTTATGGTCCTTATGGTGCAGATCAAGATTTCCCTCCTTTCTCCTTCTGAAACACCCCCAACCATTGAAACAAAATAAAATTAATTAAAACCATCCATCTTGAAGGGAAGACGGGACCAACAGCACCTGCTCTTTCAGAAACCTACCAATATTCATCCAGGTTGTCCAACCCATCAATCCTTAGCCCTTCGTGTTAATTTTTAACGCCCCCGATGATGTAATAAAAACAGCCAAACACGTTCAGCTGCGAGCCAAAGGGCAAAATGAGACTGTTTACATTCCCCTCCCATCCCCTGACCACCAAATGCACCATCATCGCTGCAGGGCGCTATTAACCCGAAGGTTGTTTGATGCTAATTATATTCGTCTGGCTGCAGCTCCCACAGCAGTTCCATCAATATGAGCTAAATACCAGCCAAAGCTTCTTCAAAAGAACATCAAATTAAACTAAAGGAATCACATTTTATGCAAAAGCATGAATGCTGAGCATTGAACGACTTTGCTGAAATTTTCTGAAGGAGATAAACTGAAAGCTTAAAATAATAGCTTCCATATAAGAAGCAGTACATTAGCTCCAAAATCCAATTAATGTTTTAAAAACTGAGAGCTACCAGTTTTTTAGCTAAATGGAACGGATTACACTTCTGATTCCCAAAGAGCCTGACTACACAACTATGCCATCGCTTACAGGTAAATGCACCTAAACAGACCAACAACTCCGTCTTCTCGTCTAATGAGGCGCAGACAAGCAGAAGAGAAGAAGCAGAGATGGTGACACCACATCCACCATGAGTAATGGCTCGGGCTGAATCTGCTCAGAAGAGCTCAGCAGAAGCGGTCGCAAAGACCTGAGTGCCAAAACACAACGCACGCCTTGCCAAAATGTGCTTGTTCAAAAAGCATTTGGGGGAAATGAACTTCAGTGAAATGTTGACTGTTGTATTCCAAGTCGCTGAATTAGGAATTCACTGGAATGGTCGACCAAAGTTCAGCCTATACGATAATGAGGAAAGATTTGTGCCGCCATCTTGGTAGGTGCTATGTGATGTCCTTACTGCCAGCACGGCAGCAAATCGTGGATTCCCGAGGAAAAACGCTAACTTCTTGTTTTTGATATGGAGTCAAAATGAAATAAAAAGTTCAAAGATAAGTTTCTCCACAGGCGTTAAGACGGAGATGATCGTCTTGAGAAGACTGCCGCAAAACTCTGCCAGCGTTCCAGAAACCTACAAATTAATAACAGTTCAATCTAAGTTTTGATGTGAGATTCTTATCTGTTTATAAAAACTGTCACATTACTAGCAACATTACCGACATAAGGCTAGTGATTTTACTTTGGTTAAGAGTTTTAATGGAACATATTTAAAACTTGATTTTCATCCTGTTGAAACAGATTCTTCATAGCGTCTCGGTGCAATCCTGTAAAACAAATGCTGACTGAATGCTTAAGTCTTTCAAGTTACAGTTGTCTTTCCATAAGTTACATCTGTGTAAAATGTGTTTGTTTCTACTGATGTTTATTTCTGCCTATTTTGGATCCAACAGTGGGTTGTGATTAGACATGTCACGATAAACAATAAATCAATTAATCGCATGATAAATGAAAATTATTGACCTCATTTTCATTTATCGGCTTTATCGTTTCTTCGTCTCTCTCTTTCTACTGAAGACACTGGATGACAAAAAGCTCAACTCTGGTGTTCTTCACTGATCCCTCCGTTTCTCCTTTCTTTAAAATCTGTTTAAACCGTCCAAAATCGTGTTTTTAGATCGCTAAAGGCAGCTAAGCTACGAGCTAAGCTAACAGGCTGACCTCGGGGAAAAAACCTCCGTCTTGTCGAAGCTCCAAAATTCACAGTTGAAACCCGTGCCTTCGTGTAAAAAGTTGTTTTTCTCTGCAAAAAGAAGCTGAGAACTTGTTTAGTGATTTTTTATTAAAAGCTCTGTGTGAAAAATGTTGTTAAAGAGCTCAAACCACACCCAGCGTCCACCATTTTCAGAACCGAATAAAAGATGGAGACAGCTCATGTCATGTCAGGGTGCCTCCATCCCATTTTTCTTATAGAGTCACGCTGCTCGCTCCCTCACTATCCATCCTTTGACGCTGCTCGCTCCCTCACTATCCATCCTGCAGTTCAAACAGTCTTACACTGCCATCCAATGGTCAAAAAAGGTACTACACTCAAAACAAATCAATATTTCTTCTTAAATTTGACAATAATTACTAATAATTGTCAAATTTCAAACAATATTATCGTTTATCGCAATAATTTCTGAGACTGAATCACCCAGCAAAATTTGTTATCGTGACAGGCCTAGTTGTGACGACACAGAACTTCTCTCTTCTTTACATTAAAGGCTAATAATATGTGCGAAAGAACAGATTAGAACAGCAACTCTCCCATTCATTGAAATGTTGCCCAGATTTTTGGTGTATTACTGGATTAAAACAGCGCGCTGCAGATTAAAAAGTGCAGATTTGAAGTGAAAACATTGTCTCGTTAACCTGCATCACAGACTAACAATTAGCATTTCACTGCTCAGACCGTCTCTTCTACTGCAATATTTTCTTCACCATATTTATCACCCGCCACTAACGTGCATGAGACGATCATCTTTTTGCCTGTGTCTGTGTGTTCATGTGTATGTTAGCAAAATATCTCAGAAACCTGTGAGATCTTAATGAAACTTTCAAAGTAAGCACAATTAACTTTAGTCAATCCACTTCAAGATGGCTGCCACAGCTAATCGACATTAGAAACATAAAAATGTTTTTAACCTGGTCAGTTTTACAGACACCGAGTTAAAATTTAACCAGGTAGTAGCTGAGAGTCATCCCAAACACACACTCTAGATTAATTTAGAGTTTGGGATTTAATGTTAATTTCAAAGTTTGGACAAAATGGATATAACCTTATATGGAAGGATTTTAGTCTAAAACTCTGTCATCAAAGCATCTCTTTGGAAAATCCAGCCTTATATTTCATGACCAAACATTATATGAAGGGATTTCCCAACGCTAAGAGAATCTGCAGAGAAAATGTGTCAGTTTCAAAGAAAATCAAACAGTTTATTTAAATAAACAAGTTGGAAAACCTCTAATTAGGTTGATTAAAACATTACGAACTATTTTTGTTATTGTGATAGCTAGATTGTGTATTTGCATATTTACACAAAATTCAGCATTTTCACTACTTTTTTTTTGTCTTATGTTGCCTACACAAGTCACAAATCCTATATTTTAAATCAGCTCACTCTTTATAGAACTACTTTATAGAGAAACATCAGTTTCTGTTTCAGCAGAAAACAATCAAATTAGGCTTATGCTGACTCTAAAATGGAAGAAAATGATGAACTGGGCAGTGCAGGTTTTAAATAAATCACATTTCTCCTTATTCCTTTAAATTGTACTTTGTAATAAAAGGAGATTTCACTCAGTTATAGATGACAAGTACAAAATAAAAAGCTTCATTAAAGCTCGAGTGTGATGTGACAATATGGATGGAGAATAAATCTGCCCAGATAAAAGCCGCCTGCCTCCCTGAGCTCCAGCCAGCAGCATCAGGCCTGTCTGCCATCCGGCAGAACAAAACCTGCTGCACGGAGGAAGGACGGGAACAAATCCAGTCAGTCTGCACTGCTGCTCTGCCTCCTGCTGCTCTGCCTCCTGCTGCTCTGCCTCCTGCTGCTCGCTTTCATGGAGGCTCTTTAAGATACAGCGCGTGCGGCGCAGACACCGAACAGCCTGCAACCATCCGCCTTTCATCCGGATAATAATAATAAAAATGATGAAAAAAATAACGACAACCGCGTCCATTTATCCCACATGTATCATGTGCACCTGATGAATATAGATCAGCATCATCATTATGGGACAATGCGGCAATAGTCCCTTTGTAATAAAAAGGAGAGCGGACATCTTCAAAGAAAGGAAAATAGAAAAAGGATGTTCACGCTCACCGTTTTTCCTGTCAGTGATGCTGCTGAAGATGATGAGGTGAAGGTGTGTTGGAGGGACTGTGCCCGGCTGGTGTGTCCATGCTCCCCACAAGCCCCCTCCTCCTCTCTCAGCTGCTGCAGCAGCAAGCTGTGGCCCACCTCCGATCCATCCGCTGTGCTCCCCACCACCCCCACCCCCTCCGCTGTCAAAAAACAGAAGATCGTCGATGTTGACAAGAGCGCTCACTCGTTCACAAAAAGTCCGCTCCGTTTTCTCCACGTCGGCGTGGCCTCGTTTTTCTTCTTGGATGCGTTCTCCTTGAGAAAACTGGCAATAAATAAATAAATTCATTCAAGTTACTCGAAAATAGTAAATACATACTTTTTTTTTTTTTTGTACGACGTAAGCCTACTGAATTTTGCTAGTTTGCTCACCCTTTTCTGGTTGCCCATTTTTGTTGCGCGCATTTTATTGGACTAAACTTGTTGGCAGCGTCCTGTTGTCACGTGTACTTTTACGCGACATGCTGAAGAAGACACAAACAAACATGTCAGAGTTACACATCTTCGTGTTCAATATTTCTTTCTCGTTTCGAATCCCGCGCTGAAACAAGAAATATTCCCTGCAGCGCCCCCTCAACTGAGCGGCAGCAGCGGAAACTGCAACTATGATATGCATTTATGCATCACATGGTAGCGCTAAAAATCAAAAACCTTCTGTGCTAAACAATCAAATTTAGCATTTTATTGACTAGTTTCATTTTAAACATTGCTCATTTTTTTATAGACTGAAACCTTTTTTACATTTCAGGCATTTTATAAATGTGCATCTTGGGGTGTTTAGAAATAGTACATAACAAATACCAACACATTCTTATTTAATAGAAATATTGGATATGCCACCAGTAACTTTGATCAACTCCAAATAGTAAAATCAATTATATGATTTGTTTAATGCATTCATAAGAAAATCAGATGTGAAATCCTACATTACTTTTTTTTAAACAAGTAAACTAAATTGAACTGAATATACACTTTTTATAGTAGTAGAGTTCCAACATGACAACTACGCAGAAAAACCTCAGTTCTAGTCAGGGATGGATCAAGCAATGTCTCCTATACAATAAACATCTGTCATTTATGCAGCAGCTGTCAACATATTTTGAGCTTAGACTACTTTTTACGAGCAATTTGTTGCAAGTTTAAACACCTAACTGTTTAAAGGCTTGTTTTAAACCATCTCAGTGTTGAGTGTGATGACAAAGTTTATGCAGCAGAGAATCTGAAACAGTGGATACTGACAGACACTTTCATAGCGTGTGACCACACCGCTGTGTAAACTGCTCTGACGTGAAGCTCCTCTCAAACTACACCTCTCCAGCCAGAAATGCTCTTTAGTGTCTTTGTGTGACTTAATGTTCACAGCTGTTTTCCTATTTTTATATTTATTTGTTGTTTTTGCAATCCAACTACTACTATACAATTAGTGCTGCTTTAGCCATTCACTTATCAAACTGTTCAGCTCAATGAAGACAAGGGTCCCATGACTTTTGAATTACATAACTTTTATACTTTAGAAAATATTGAAATGTATTTTTTTAATCCGCCTTCCCCAATTCCTTGATAAATCATTTTCTTTAAAATCTGCTTCAACTTACGACTAACCTGGATAAATAAAGGCTAAATGAAAAAATGAAAAACTTGCTCTAATTTTCAGACATGCTACTTTTAGCTATCCTTTGGCTACTTTTAGCTAAACTGGCTATTTCGAGCTAGCAGAGCTTTAGAAATGCTCAAACGCTTTTAGCTATTCTTTTGCTACTTCCAGCTAATATTTTGCTAGATTTATATGTTAGTGTTTTTCTCCTTTTAGCTATTATTTAGCCGCTTTCAGCTTGCATTTAGCTAATTTGGGCTTTAAGTTGGGTGTTTTGCATGTTATTTTTTAGCTAATGTTCTGCTTCTCTTTTCAGTTTCAGCTTCTTCAGCTATTTATCACTCAGCATTAAGATGGCTTTATAATTAAACATGAAAATTCAATGATTTAATTTCTTCTTCCTGCAACAGGAGCCGAAATCATGAAGCTAAACACACCTTGCCGTCACTAGATCTAAGCCAGATCGCTCTCGAGCTGTGAGCTTTAGCCTGTTTAAACAGCTAAAGATACACGACGACGAGTTTGACACTCGGCAGACTTTAGATTCCCTGCAGTTTGTGTTTATCTAGCAGACCTCCTGACCTGGTTTGATGTGAACCAGTCTCCCTGCTGATGATTGACAGGAGCCTCATCACACCGATTATCCCGGGATGACTCAGATAAGACTTTTTCTAAGACAAACAGGATGCATAAAAACATTTCCTTCTTGTTTTTCTGCAGAAGCTTCACACCGACTCAGGACTCACTTACAGAACCGGACCTACAATGATTTCAGAGAAAGATATGTTGGCTCCTGTTAAAAAAAATAAATAAATAAATGCAGCGAGAGCCAACAGAGCATTGACGATCTGGCAACAACTAAAATACAACAAAAACAAAAAATATATGTATTTTTTTGCATCACAACAAGCAGAAATGCACTTTAAGCAGCAAAATAAAGCTGGTTGTGTAACTCGCTTCTGCCAGATCTGGACCAAATATAGGCAAGCGTGGGAACATTTGAGAATATTGTAAATAAGAAGGGGAATATATCGGTTGCTAGGCAACAACATAAACCCACATGATCCGACTCTGCTTGAGGAAGAGAGACAGATGAAGTTATACATTCACATCTTCCTCAAAAACTACATCTGATGCCAAAAATCCCACAAACTTGAACATTTGTTGTAAATTTCAGGACGTCTTGACCAGAATCGGGTTTACTCGCTGAAAGGACCTTGAATCAGTCGGCGGCGTTCAGGAAACAATTGATGGAACAACGCCAAGGAACGATAATGGATATTCAAAATGATCAAAACTATACAGATTCTTCATGTGCAGCAGTGTCTTCTTGGCACAAGAGGCCTAAAAGAAAAGCAGACAAATACGACGTGCCTAGAATACTTACTTTCCAAACAGGTGAGACGTCAAGCAGCACTGTTTTTAAATCAGGTTTTATTGTTTTATGACATCGAGTCATTTTTAAATACCATTAAAAATGAAAGGTGGCAGGAATCACATCAGTCAGGTTCTCACCAGGTTAAAAATGTGCATTCAATCTAAATAACCAAACTGAGAAGTTCAAGTTAGATCAAAGACATGATATATATATTTTTATATTAAACTAACAAGTCGTTGCTCATATCAGAAGAGACATGCTTTGTACAGTGATGAACAAACGTGCACGGTTGCAGGTGAATGTGCAGGCACCGGAGCAAGAAGAACTCAGAAGGCGTTCATTATTAGTTTAAAATTAATGTGAAATTCCTAAAAATACATCCTACAAAGTGCACGTTATCTTTCTGTACAGGGTTATGAACAGGCCGTCGTGTTCAGGTTCTCTCTTTTTACACCTTAATATTTATAAGTTAAGTATTAGTTTACTTTTATTTTTCTTCTTTCCTCCCCTTGTTTCCTCTTTAAGGAAGGAAAAGGAGGAAATTAAAGAGAAAAAAAAGAGGGGAAAAAAATAAAAATTGGAAAAAAGAAAACCGGGAAAAGAAAGAAAAAAAGGAAAAAACAAACAAAAAAATTTCACTTTCATTTTTCCCTTTCTTTATCTACACCCTTTTTTCCTCATTAAGGAACAAAAAAAGAAAAGAGAAAAAATGAAACAAAGGAAAAAGGGGGGAAAAAGAGAAAAAGAAAAAACAAAGCGGTAAAAATAAAAAATGAAAAATATATCTTTAATATATATAAATATATTTTTTCTCTTTCTTTTTTTTCATATTTTCCCTTTTTTTCCTCTAAGGAAAAAATGAGAAAAAGGAAAAAAAGAAAGGAAAATTAGAAAAAAGAAAAAAAGGGGGAAAATGAGAAAAAGGAAAAAAAGAAAGGAAAATGAGAAAAAGGGAAAAAAAAGGGGGGGGGGGAAATGTTGAAAGTTTTTTTCCTCTTTCATTTTTTCCCCTTTCTCCTTTCTTTTTCAACCCCCCTTTTTTTCCTCATTAGGAAAAAAAAGGAAAAAAGTGAAGAGAAAAAGAAAGGAACAAGTGGAAAAGAACAAAAGGGAAAAGAAAGAAAAGAGGGGTAAAAACAAAAAAAGAAAACATATATCTTCAGTTTTTTTCTTTTTTCATTTTTTTCTTCTTTAAGGAAAAAAATAAGAAAAAAAGAGAAAAAAGAAAGAAAAAAGAGAAACAAATGGAAAAAGAAAAAAGGGAAAAGAAAAAGTAAAAAAGCGGGAAAATGAAATAAAGGAACAAAGGGAAAAAAAATAAAAAATCTTACATTTTTTTCTCCTTTTTTCCTCTTTAAAGGGGGAAAAGGAAAGAAAAAAAGTAAAAATCCCATCTTCAAAGTACACAAAGTACACACAAAGAACATAATGTTCATGTGTGTGTCATGCAGTGGACTTGTATCTCACTCTGTGCTCAAAGATCAACACTTTCAGGATGTTGATGCGTTTCTTTCCCTATTCATCCTGATGATTCCACTTTAATATCTTTTGTTTTAGATCTAACAACAAAATGTGTAAATAATAAATTACATTACATGGTTTTCAACACTTGTCCTAACTTGTTAAAAACAAGGTGTTTTTGTGTGTGTTGGCTGATCAGGACCAACTTGTGTAAACATTTGGCCACAGAAGCCACATTTTCCAAACACTTGGTGGTCTCTTGTAATAAAACCTTCTTAAGCTCGTGGTTAGAGCTTGGAGATGAAGGGGATCCCCTCGTACATGTCGGCTTTGAGCTTCGCCCACTCGGCCAGCCTCTGCATGGCGCCCTTCTCCTGACTCAGCACGCTCGTCGCCTTCCTCAGCTTGGCCTCGTTGCGCTCGAGGTAGTGCTCCGCCTCGCTTTTGAGGAAGTCGAGCTTCTCAATGCGGCTCTCGTTCAGCGGGACGTCCTCGCTCATGTAGGGGTTGAAGCGGAAGTAGGTGTCGGGTGGCAGGAGGGCGTCCAGCATGGTGTGCACCTCTGAAATCAAATACTTAAAGTAAGGGAACTAGAGCGCTTATCATCAATCCAATCATCTTTTATTGATATAAAGTGTACTGGAACCATTTCTCCTAATTGATATTTACACAAAACAGAAGTTGGATTGTCTGATAAACCATCTAACTTAGATTCCCCCACCCTCATGAAACCAGTGGGCGTGTAATGACACCTCTAACCATGGTTTATAGAAGACAACACTTCCTGCTACGTTCTGTTCTTCTTACCCTCGGTGTCCGTGGCGCTGCTGATGACGTGAGCCAGCTTCGTCTTCAAACTCGTGTAGGTCGTGCCGTTTCTGCCGGCCGTCTCGTACCGCCCGGTGCCCAGAGACAGCACGCACTGCAGAGGCGTGTTCGGCCACAGACACTTGCACTCGTGAATGGCCAAAGCTGTGGGGTTGTTGATGAGAAGCCCTCCATCCTGAACAGGAAAAGACACCTTTGGTATCGCTTTGAGAGATTAGATTAATGAGGGAGATTATCTTTAATTTGTTATGAATGTGTAGTACTTGTAGAGAAATGTTAAGAAGAAGGGAGGACTGGACAGAGAAAAAGATTGATGATACTCCTGAGAGAGAATAAGGACAATCTGTTTGGATGAATGGGTCACCAGATTTAGCTCTCATGTTTTATCTCAGGGTGTCCCTACACCCCAGTCTGGACCTTATCCAAGCTCTGAAATACCTCAGAGTTGACTCTGTTAAGGACAGAGTGGTGAATTATCTTTACTCTGCACAGGATAAGCTTTTCACAGGTAACGGAGCGGTGGAGAAATGTCCACAATTAAACAATAAAAACCCACTGTAGATCTGAGGAACAGACAGAAAACACATTTAACATGATCTTTTTAGAAGTTGTTTAGCGTTTATATCTATTAATTTATTTTAAGTCTCATTATTAGGAACATATCAACACATGAACAAGATATAAAAGTCAGTAAACGAGGGACGTTTACACAAATTCCACCTCTGTACAAAGTCTAAATAAACCTTTTTTTGAAGTTTATGTGTGGGTTTATGATTTGTCAGAATCCTGAGAAATACCTCTGCTAGTGCCGAATACTAGAGTGAAAGTGAGACCGGTGGGCGGTAAAGTTGGTGCAAACCGTTGAGGAAACGCCACAAATCCCTACAAGGAACGTGGACGACTATACAGCCAGACGCAACTCATCGACCTCCAGCTTTCCCGTCCAGTTGCCACACCAGAGTCAAAAAGGAACGGGCGCAGAAGTGCAAAGAGAATTAAAATATTAAGAGTTTAAAGTAAATCGTACACCGCATTTGTAAAAGACAGACTTTGATAAGAGGTTACAGTAGAATGAAATCCACACTTTCTGGAAAAACAAAGGCCCGAGTCAGTAAATACATTTACAACAAGGTTAGGATGATTTTCTAACTGAAACGTGGCACAGGGCTATTAATGTGGACCTTTGATTTAAGAAATGCCAGAGGAGAGAGAAGGGACACAGCTAATTTAGTTTAAGTAGGTTATCTGAATGAAGCTAAGCCTTTAGCCTAATTGTTCCTAATTAGGAGCATCTAAAGATATCTGACCCCATAATCAAACATCATGAAATGGTACAAATCAGTCAGGGCAGCTCTTCAAAGGCACACATACAAGAGTGGAGAGGTAGAAAGTACAATATAATGGTGCTACTTCAGTTGTAGCCGATTCATTCAACCTTTCTGAGCTCGACAATAAACAACTGTGTCGTCGGCATAGGAATGTGAGGATGCATCAGGAATGATCTGACTTGCATTATGTAGATTGTGAAGAGGGTGGGTCCTAAGACTGAACCTTGTGGTACACCTTTGTTAACAGTAAGATAACGGGAAGAAGTACCATTATGTTGAAGATATTGCCTTTGATCTGAGAGATAATTTGAGAACCAACCAATAGTGTGATCTGAGAAACCGGTTTCTGAGAGCTTATGACATAAGATGTCACGGTCCACAGCTGATGGAACATGAATACACGCGGAGACATTTGAAAACTCTGAGGTGTTACGGAGAAACTCATGAGGATTCTCACTAAAGCCATTCTAGTCATTTTCCATCTTTGCCTCTGACACCTGATCATGGCTTTAAAGGATAATTCAGCTGGGGGGGGCGCTTTTGTTAGAAGTCTAACAAATTCACACACATGTAGTTGATGCAGACACACACTGATCTGAGAAACAGTGACTCTCATTGTTGAAGTTTGAAAATGCAACAATCAAAACATTTTTAATGACTCGTAAACTGATCAAGATCCTACATTTAAAATAGTTAAAATGAGTGAAAATTTAAGTTTAAAAAAAGTACGGTAGTTAAAAGCTAAGAATTGTAAGACAGAAATGTCAGATTGCTTCATTTTTCCGATGCATTTTTCAAACATATGTTTATATTTAATCTGTTCGTTCAAATGGTGAAAAGGTTCCTGAGCAGTTCAGGGATTATTTCATATTACCGTATTTTCCGCCGTACACGTCACATCGCAAGTTGCATCGGTCCAAATATGTCTAATAAAGTGGAAAAAAACAAATACGTTGCTTTGCCACATAAGTCGCATCTATTATGCATCACCGCTGACGCGTCACTGAAAACCTGAAAATGTGGCCGGTGTTGTGGCTGCCAAATGGCGGCCGCGAAAGCATGCACAGGAGGACTTTAACAAGAATAACAGTTATAAACAATTATTTTTTGCTCTAAATTATAGTAAAGGTGTGTCTCAGTTGAACTTTCCTTGGCAAGCCAAGTGTGTCATTAATAGCCACTTTTACCTATTAATGAGACACTTGGCTTGCCACATCAGTCGAGGGCCCTCTACTGGTTGAAAATGGTAGTGTTTAAAAAAAAAAAAACGAAGTCCAGATGACATGATTCAACCTTTTTTGTTGTTATATACCTGGATGACTGAGAAAACAAACTTTGTGTTTTTGAAACCATTAGTGAAAAGGCCAGACTTCAGGGGTATCTGAGGCAGGCTTGAAACACAAGAGTCAGGGTGGCTTCTGGGTAATACCAGATGGCTAGGCCTCAGACTGACGAAGCCTCTTGGATGAGGGGCGAAACGTTTCTTTTTTAACAAAAAAACGAAGTCCAGATGACATGATTCAACCTTTTTTGTTGTTATATACCTGGATGACTGAGAAAACAAACTTTGTGGTAGTGTTTAATATTTTCCATGTCAGATCTTAGCCAAAAAAACAAATATGTTGGTTCGCTCTATAAGTCGCAGGCATGCTAATTTATGCACAAAACTGCGAAAACTACGGTAAACTTTAATTTACACTTTTATTTGACTCGTCAGTATTCAAATCGTCACCCACCTCATTTTCTCACTTGCAGAGGTCATTTCTCAGTTTTTCAGGTTCTACACCATGTAAGTTTTTGCAAGTGTAGAAACTGTCCTAAATGTTTGAGCAAAGTGTCTTTCAAGCATATTTTTAAAAGTTTTACAACTTATTTTATTGCATTTGTTTGTATGTGTCTTGCTCCTGTGTCATTCATGGTGTTTTTATGATGATGCACGTTTTTAGGATTCATTTTATTTTATTTGGGGATGGCTGATTTGGCACATTCTTAGAGCTTTTTGCCTTTTTTTCCCCCCTCCACGCTGCAGTTTGCATTTATTTTTAGTTGTGCAAAGTTGTGCAAAATGCATAAATAAAAGAACAGGAGCTATAAAGAGTACAAGAACACAGAAGCAGAGAAACTACGTTAAAGCAGATTTTGGAGAACCGAGGTTTTGAATGAACTGAAAAGATCTCAATGCATTTCTATGAAGATAAAAAAAAAATACAGTAAAATATTTTAAAAACATAAAAAATGTAACTACTAAAACACTTAGTACACTATTCTCAATCAAGCTGAACATTTTGATATATGAATGGTTAAAATTGCAAAAGTGTTATTTTTTTGTTTGTTAGCAAAATAACAGTTAACTGACCTATCTGAGCCATTTATTAGCAGCTCTTCTAGCTGTGTCATACCTGATGAAGGTCTTTTCCCAGAACAAATTCCTGGAAGTATCCGGGGGCGGCAGACGAGGCCCTGATGGCCTGCCACATCTTATGTTTGCAGTCTCCAAGGTAGTGGGATCTCACTCCAGGCATGAGTCTGTAGTTCCTGAACACATGGGCCTTCAGAGGCAAGCCTCTGTTGACAATGGTGCTCACTGCTGACACCTAGTGGTCAACACAAAACACGAGGCCAGCTTTTTCTTTTTAGATTATCTTGGCAATAGAAAGCAGCAACAGTACAAACAGTAAATAAAATATAAGCACAGAAATAAGTGCACGCCAGTGTGAACAGAAAACGTTGTTTACATGATGAAACGAGAGCAAAGGCTGTAATAGAAAAAGTAAGAATGGTAGATTTTAAGTCATAACTTACTTTGGGGCAGTGTGGGTCCCTGGCACTCTCAATCATGCTCCCCTCACCCATACGTTCTCTAAAGAAACCAAACCAGCCGATCACCTAGTCTCTAGAGTTAATAATGTGTAAGTTGTGGGTTGGAAGGCTGGACTTCGCAGACTTACTTGAGGAGATTTTCCCATGTTTCACTGTCGTAGAAAGCATGGCTCCAGCCCATCTTCACAGTTCCAACAATGACGTTCTGCTTAAAGACACCTGAACCCAGTTTTCTGTAAATTTCCTCGCACTCTTCCAGGGGGAGCTGAAAAATCCCCAGCATGAAAGCCAAGACGGCACCTGTTGATAAATCACATGATTAGAACATGAGCATGCCCAAGACAATATACTGTATATTAAGAATAATGCAAATCCAGATCCAGTTTGACATCACACCAGAAG